AGAGAATCGCCTAAGCCCAAGAGCTGGAGGTTGCTATGAGCTGTGATGCCACAGCACTCTACCAAGGGCGACAAAGTGAGACTCTATCTCTAAAACAAATAATAATAATTTCCAGTATGGTTCCTATTAAGGCATATTAATAGTCAACTGAATTTAACTTCATTTAATGTAAATTACTTAATTAATTAAAACATGAACTAAATTTTAAAAAAAAGAAATCACCATGGAAACAGCAGCTGCTATGGTTTGAAAGTCCGTCCCCTCCAAAACTCAAAGTGAAAGTTAATTGCCGTTTTCACAGTATTAAAAGGTAGAAGCTTTAAGAGGTGATGAGGAGGCTCAGCTCCTGTAGCTCAACAGCTAAGCGCCAGCCACATACACCAGAGCTGGCGGGTTCGAATCCAGCCTGGGCCTGCCAAACAACAATGACATCTACAACCAAAAAGTAGCCGGAGGCGATGATGGGTGCCTGTGGTCCCAGCTACTTGGGAGGCTAAGGCAAGAGAATCACTTAAGCCCAGGAGTTGGAGGTTGCTGTGAGCTGTGACGCCACAGCACTCTACCCAGGGTGACAGCTTGAGGCTATCTCAAAAAAAAAAAAAAAAAAAAAAAAGAGGTGATGAGGGCTCTGCTCTCCTGGTGGAATTAATGCTGCTATAAAAGGACAAATTTGCCCCCCTTCCCACTCGGCCCCGGGTGCTCCCTCTCACTGCACTCTGGACGACACAGCAAAAAGGCCCTTCTCACATGACACTGCCTTGATTTTGGACTTTCCAGCCTCCAAAACTGTGAGAAATAAATTTGTTCTCTAAAAATTACCCAGTGTCAGCCATTCTGTGATAGCACCTGAAATGAAGTCAGACAGCATCCAAGCATTCAAACCAAAGCAAGCTTAACTTCATAAACATAGCTGGCCAGACATCTTCTCCAAAAGTATCTCATCTCAAAGAATAATATTTTTTAAAAAGTCAAAAGAATTTAAAAATGAGAAAATAAGCGGGCCGCGCCTATGGTTCAAGGAGTAGGGCGCCGGCCCCATATCTGGAAGTGGTGGGTTCAAACCTGGCCCCAGCCAAAAACTCCAGAAAAAAAAAAAAAAAAGAGAGAGAGAAAATAAGATTTGATTAATGGGCAGCACCTGTGGCTCAAAGGAGTAGGGCACCAGCCCCATATGCCAGAGGTGGTGGGTTCAAACCCAGCCCTGGCCAAAAGAAAAAAAGATTTGATTTATTCTATCAGAATAACCAGAAAATTTTTAAATTCTGAGACTTACAATAATATAGTTGAAAAGTTCTTACATTAAATGACATTCAATGAAATACTCATGCTATTACCTACAACATGATAATCACAAGAAAAATTCCTGTATCTATTTTAATCTTCCAAGAAAATATATATTAAGTAAAAAACTATTCATAAAAGTTGGACCGGTGTTTACACCTTTAATCCCAGCAATTTGGGAGGCCAAAACATGAGGATTGCTTGAGGCCAAGAGTTTAAGACCAGCTAGGGCATCATAATGAGACACCATATCTACAAAAAAGTGGGGGGAAAATTAGCTAGACATGGTGGTATGCACCTATAGTCCTATTTACTTGGGGGGCTGAGGCACAATGATCAATTGAGCCCAGGAGTTTAAGACTATACTGAGCTAGGCCGGGCACAGTGACTCAAAGCCAGGTACGGTGGCTCACAGCTATAATCTCAGCAATCTGGGAGGGCGAGGCAGGTGTACTGCCTGAGCTAGAGCGAGACCCTGTCTTTAAAACTAGCCCAGCATTGTGGCAGGCACCTGTTGTCCCCGCTACTTATCTGAGAATTTGGTTTGGGGAAGGGTTCCTACAACCCTAATGGTTAAGTTTAGATACAGTGGCTATGTGTAAACTGTAGAGACAATGTGCTTTATGCTGAACAGCTTTCCTTCTGGAAGGCCAGAATTTTGGTACATGCCAGACAGAGGATATTAACTTCTGAGTGGTCTTGGGGACTCCCATACAAGCTCTCATAGTCCTAGATTTGATTCATACTTCTGCCACTTCTAACAGTGTTAAGACATTAGGAAAAAGTCTTAGGATTTCTAGGGCTTGTTCTCAGTAATCAAAACAAATGGAAAGGGGGCTGAAAACTGGCTAGCTAACTAATATAATGTTCCAAGATGGGTTTTTTTTTTAACTTGAGATTAATATGAGGGTACAAATGATTAGGTTACATTCTTTGCATTTGTTAGGTGAAGTCCACATTGTAGTTGAAGCATTCACCCAAGAGATGTGCCATATGCATCCTTTCATTGTGCCCACGAGGTGAGAGAACACCAATCCCTCTCCCTCTTCTCTCTCTCCATCCTCTTCCCGCTCCATCCCAACTTAACTTAATTGCATTTTGCTCTCCTGTGAGTGTGTACTTGTTCAGATTCTTTTTCTTTATACAGGTATGTGTGTTTATTTGGTTTCCACTTTTTGCCTTCACAAAATTATAGAGGCTTAAAATTTAATAACAATAACAATGTTTAAGATAAGGACTAGAAACAAAAACCACGTAAAGAATGAAGGAAGATAAATATAACTGGAAAAGAAATCAGACAATTCCTGCAACAAAATATTGAGCAATAACAGTAATAATGCAAAAAAAAAATAACATTCACATTGTCAGATAAAAGTATGTCTATCATAGAATGCTTTGACTCTGAGGTTCAGAATGGTTTCTCTAAATTAGGTCAGTATTTACAGGGCAGAGTTCAAATACTTACGAAAATACAGGCCTAAAAATAAAAATACCTACATTTTAACAGCTTCCTATCTGTTCAAGTCAACATTAATCTTCAGAAATAAGTTACACTCAAACAATACAATCTAGTCACAACCCTAACATATCAGAATTCCATTTTTTAAATATGAGAATTTTATTCCCGATTTGTTTTACAGAGGAAAATGATAATATATAACCAAACATGAAACATGATTAGCTACAACTATGCTCCAGAGCAGTGACTTTCAACCCATGTGCTATAGCACACTGGTGTGCCATGAGCAGATCTTAGGTATGCCTTGAAAATTTTTAGGCCGGGTATGGTGGCTCACACCTGAAATCCTAACACTCTGGGAGGCCAAGGCAAGTTAACTCAAGTGTGTGAGTTAAAAAAAAAAAAAATCAGTTATTTTCCAAAGAAGTTCAAAGCACATTTAGTGTATTCTTTTTTTGAGACAGTCTTTGTTGTTGTTGTTGTTGTTGTTGTTTTTTGTTTTTTCTTTTTTTTTTTT